TAATAATAATAATAATAATAATAATAAATAACATTTATATAGCGCTCTTTCCTTTGGAAAACAAACTCTGAACACTGCTGTGAGGCAGCGTGGTGTAATCAGGCTCTCGTCAATTTTTGGGCATATAGAAGAATAGGTATTACCTTAAAGCGTGTTTACTTGTCTTTATTGGGATGCAAAAAATATCCATTTGTCTTGACTACAAGCCGAGATATTTGCGAAAGAAGGAGGTGGGGGTCACCTGTTTTCAGAGGTAAAATTAGTGAGAAAATGGCCGCCAAAGATTGGTTATTTCCTTAGCCTAAGAGTCCATGGTCACCGAAGATTTACATTTTTTATGCCTTTAATCAACGCTTTTCAGAAAAATCCACACAGAAATGAGTTCTTTTATGGACATGAAAGGTGTTGAGCCAAAAAACAAAAATTTGATAAAAATTCACAAACCTGCTGAAAAATGCAACTTTCTTCACTTTAATTATTTTGACGAGAGCCTGATTCCACCACGCTGCCTCACCAATTATTTGAATCTAAAGTAGATAGTGTTCAGACACATACATAAATTCGCTTAAGTGGAAAAGTATAACAGTATCCTGAGTATCCTTGATTGAAAAAGAATTACTTTTTTGTGTTCTCAAATATGTTTTTGAAAGACTCGGTACTTTCTATTATTTCTCTCAATTTTTGTGGGAGGGTGTGTCAGATTTTAGGGCCCGCAAATGCAGAAGATCTTTCCCTATAGGACTTGGATTTCTGCTTGGGTATTCTTAGCAACGAGTTGCAATAGTCGAATCAGGAAAGGCCTAAGCTGTCACTAAATTAGCCATACATTGGTCACTAATAAGATGTAGGATTTATACCAAACATACTTTTATTTCTAGATACAAACACAGTTGATTTACATGGTTATTTTTTGTGTTTGTAAGTGTTTTACGACGCTTGCGACTACACAAGGTCATATGAGCGGGCGAGACACAGTAAGTATTTTCTGTTTGGTAGGATTTAATTTTGAATTTCGCCCGAATGGCGGGCGAAGCCTACTCTTATTGATTTTAGGACCACTAAGAGATCTTTAACGTGTGCAACTTGAACACGTACACGGGACCTTTGAGAACTTTTTCGTCATTATCCGAGAAGGCTAGGTGATAGATCTTACCTACTCTAAGATCAGGGGTATGCCTGAAAGACAACAGTAAGAAAGAATATCAGTAGAAAGGCTGCAGAAAGAGTCAGGATCCCAGAGGATGGGCCGGGGGGAGAGGGTGGGGGGGGAGGCAGAAAGTGGAGACGAAAGCAGCCGACAGAGCAAAGATTATAGAACAGGAAAGGAGGTGAAAGAAGAACATGTTAGAGAATAAAATTTTTCGTGTCTGTCAGGTTTCAAACCCAGGACCTATTGCATGGGAGGCGAACACCGTACCTCTAGGCCACGAGAGCCCCCTTAGATGGTTAGATATTGACAGTAAATCATTATCGAAACCACTTCAAGATGCTTGGCTTCCTTTGACAACGAAACGGTGCAGCATTCAACCATCTTAAGGAAAAAGAAACAGCCTGGCGACTACTCAAAAGAGGCTAGAGAAACAACAACAACTCGATCGTCCGCCGACGACTTCAAGTAGGGCGCGCAAAAAATCACCGAGAATCCTGCAGTGGAAGGCAGATTGTTTACTTTCCAATACCAGTCAGCAAACTCGGTGTTCGGCGGAAGAAGGACGATTTCGGTATCTGATTAATCCAGGAGCTGAAACTAAAGCCAGGAAAGAAGACCACGCCCCACCTAGAAGATTTCCCATCAATCTGAGAGTACCGCAAATATCCGACTGGTTGAGGCGGCATCATCTCCTTCATCAAGAATTCCCTTTTTGATTGGGTTCTTTTTTAAAAAAAACTTGCCCACAATGTTTCAACTAACGGGACTGAAATAATAACACTCAGAGGAAAGATGAAGAAGTAGGAGAGAGGAAGGTTACGCGATTCAACACCAAACCGAAACATGACAACCAAGATGCTCCGTAGATGGCAACCCATCGACTACTGTCCTGGTACCGCTTTATCTATACCATCCTCGTCGGGGAGGGTAAAGGTGCCCGAGACATGACAATGTGGATCACCTAGGAGCGGGAAGTTTTCATGGTTTACTGCTGAGGGAATTGGAATCTCTGACCTAGCCCCAATATCCACCATACTCAACACTGGGGCGAACCACGGTTCTGTCCTTAAGGGTCTTGTCGCTCGGAGGTCATCCGGCGCAAGCTAGAAAGCTTTCTCTGATAAAGCCATAGATACAGGGTGCATGGAAGTGGAACCAAATTGGAAAAAGAATATTAATCCACAGACAGGAAAAAGAAGCTAAAACAGCACCTGGACATGGATGGCTGGTGCCTCTATAAATAGAATAGTAATGGCCAAGGTCAAGTGTGAGGGTTCATGCCTGGTGCCTCTATAAAAAAAAATTATCGATGAAGTGTGAAAGGCTACTGACATATGAATGAAGACGATTGACACTCCTTTTTCTTCTCGATCGCATCACACTTAAAGTCTGGTATCTGTCATATACTGCGCCGTCCTGCTCAGTTCATCTGTCGGCCTGAACAGCTTCTCTTGCAGTGTCAGTGGGTTTGGCCACGTTTCCTGTCTCAGGGCCCTGTGTGTTATGCGCGGCTAACACTATTTGCAACTAATACATGACAGTCTTAAGATCAGTCAAAATTTAAGACTGCATGAAAAAAAAAAGACGAGGAATGCAACAATCGGTTTTTGCGAAAATTGCATGAAACTATGGCACGAGACAGTGAACGGACTATAGCCACCGTTCCATTCCATAGCATTCCTTTCCCAAACCTTCTTCCTTTCGAGCGTGGGTGGTTGGCTGGTGCTCTGGTGTATTTTTTCAGGCCATGCTCCCAGCCATGTTGTCAACTTGTCCAGCATCTCTTCCCTCTGTCTGCCTCTGCCTCTCTTTCCATCAAACTTGCCTGTTGTTACAATATTCTCCAATGCTTCTTCGGCACTTACATGACTTAATTGTGTTGCAAGTGCCGGGGAACCCGTACTAAATCTAAAACTCCTCAGCAGGTTGTCCCCCTTCCTGAGTACCTCCTGTGTGACCTGGGACTGGCGTCATGGCGTCGTTGGAAGGACAACCCTTCACGTGGGCGGCGGCTGTCCTGTTGTGTGCGGCAGTTCTCGTGGTGGAAGCCTCTCACTTTAGGGGAGGGACCATCAGTTGGAGGCCGCTCGGGGGAAACACGGTTTGTCCATCCATCCATCCATCCATCCATCCATCCATCCATCCATCCATCCATCCATCCATCCATCCATCCATCCATCCATCCATCCATCCATCCATCCATCCATCCATCTATTCATCCATCCATCCATCCATCCATCCATCCATCCATCCATCCATCCATCCTTCTAGTCACCCACCCACCCATCCATCCATCCATCCATCCATCCATCCATCCATCCATCCATCCATCCATCCATCCATCCATCCACCCATCCATCCTCCACCAATACCTATTATCAATTAGTCCGTACCAACACATCCCAAACACTTAATTGCATTGTCGTAATGAACTCGATTTTCTAAATGTTTGTTGTTTGCTGATGATTTGTTTCAAGTTTTATTCAGTTTGGTCTAACAGAATGATCGTTTCATAATTACAGCTTTGTAAAGTGAATAGGTAAATGACAAACTGAAGACGGAGAAAGTAAGTCTCCTGACGTCAGATAAAATTTGGTCAAACAAAAAGACTTGTAAAGGAATTGACAGAAAAACAACTAGAATCTATGACTCAGATGCATTGAGCATTCCAATCATCAGAGGAATGGTTTTTTTGCTAGGTACAGATTTTTTAAAGTCGAGAATAAATGGGCTTTTCCCAAACCAAGGGCACATCACTCCACAGACAAAAAACGACTCCCCGCGTGTGCAAATTCCTAGATCTAGTGCTTTTCAAGAAATAACTGAGACAGTGCAACCGTTTGCACAAGAAAGTAAACTGGCTAGAGCAGTAAATTTATGGCTTGCACCTAGTACATGGTCATGGTATCCCAGACTGCACGCTCTGATGTACGTGGCGTCGGTGGTTTAGTGGTTAAGCTCTCAGACTCGCAACCGTAAAGCCGTGGGTTCGAATCCCGTCAGGGGCCCGACGTTGTGTCCATGAGAAAGGCACTTTACACGAATTTTCCTCACTTCACCAGGAGGGAATGGGTACCCAGTTATAAAGATCTTGTCAGTTTGTCAGTGTTTGAGCGCTTAATCAGCTGCTTGCACTATGCTACCCGAGAAGCTGAGAATGTTTCTATGGTCTGCTCGGGTAATAATATAGAGTGTAAAGCGGATAGAGCTTGCTGTCGAGCGGGGATATGCGCTAGGGGGCCTATACAAATGCTACATATTATTATTTACTTCCGGTTTACAGGGGAGCGCACCATGTGACTCTATTTTCAACCAAAATTAAGGGCAAGGAAGGAAAGCTTGCCTACACACTCAACTATCCCTAGACTCGCGTTTTGCTCTACATTTACCCGCCTAGATGGCGCGCAGCAGCGGTGCGAAGTTTTTCTTTAGAGAGCAACAGGCGGCACCCATGACAGTGCTCGATCTAGGATTATATTATCATTCAAGTCTATGGTCTAAGTTTATTTCTCCCAAATATTGGTGCCCACAAAGTTATTGTACAATATTTTCAAGAAAACGATGCTGGGATTGAAGAAGAATGCTGGGGTCATGAAAGAAACTGCATTGCTTTAAGTCAGGTTCGATGCAGGCCTTGAAAAAAAACCTGCTGGAAATGCACATGCCTAACACCCATTACCACACTGTAGGGGTTATCAGAAAGATAGAACGTCCGATAGGACGGAGCCAAATTGGAAAAATTCTCGTAAAGTGCCTATCTCAAGGATACAATGCCAGACAGAGCTAAGACTCGAGCCTCCAGGCCCAAAATCGCACCCTTACGAATCAGCGTAACCAATAGAATACCGACTCCAGGCCACTTCTTTGGCTTAACGTTAAGTAGTTGTGTTCATAAAACACGCGTGGGAGGGAGGTTTTAAATACAGTCGAGACAGCGCTAGGTTGGAGAGACAAATTGTTGATGGCCTCGGATCTTTTCACGTCGACGTGGCTAATTAAAAGAGAGACATCTGATAAACCAATGGTGCTTTTTTTTTTTTTTCTTAAGAGTCTTACGGCACTTGCAACACAATAAAGTCATATAAGTGCCGAAATGATGCTTTGACAACTTCCGATGTGCTCAGGTGGAATTCGAGTTCAAGATGGGCTGGACATACGACAAGGGTCCTGGCTGCAAGGAGCACCTGACTGGTCAATATGTCAACCAACCAATGTCTGGCAATGACAACAATTTCAAGTGAGTAGCTTAAAGCAAGAGGAAAAATATTATTTTAAGGTTAGATTAGTTCATGTGAGTAATAAGTGAAAGAAATAAGTGAGTCATAAGACGTCTAGGAAACGTTGAAAAGACTGACAAATGTACGAGAGAGAGAGAGAGAGAGAGAGAGAGAGAGAGAGAGAGAGAGAGAGAGAGAGAGAGAGAGAGAGAGAGAGAGACCCTTTGATACTTCTTAACCGATTTTTAGCTTGACCGTATTTTGAGATATAATTCCCCAAACCCCGAGAAGGCAATAAAGGAAAGTAAAAACACAAATAGTGCTGTAGTATTAAAACCAGATGATCGTTGAGGATCTTAATCAGTGCTTGCCAACAGGGGCGATTTCGCCACTAGTGGGGGGGAGGTTGGTAATTTATGCAAGCAATGGGAAACAGCATAGTAGCCAGAGGTATTATTTCATGCTCCCTTTTGAAATACATGAACTATAATTTCGTAGGCGGTACGAAAACCCCAAGCTCTTTTCGACAAAGAAGGGTGCTGACTTTAAAAAGTGTAGACAAGCGCTGACCTAGAAGTTGAAAGACCGAGAGGCGAATCTGTCTCCCCCCCCCCCCCCCCCTCTCTCTGTCTCTGTCTCTCTCTCTCTATCTCTCTCTCTCTCTCTCTCTCTCCCTCTCTCTTTCTCTCTCTCTCTCTCTCTCTCTCTCTCTCTCTCTCTCTCTCTCCCTCTGTGTGTGTGTGTGCGCGTGCGCGTGCGTGCGCGTGCGTGCGTGAGTTCACCAGTGTGTATATATTACTCACATGTCCCGTGCACATGGTGGAAAAATACACATCGATTGGTTCCAAACCTAGACGGTATAAGAACGTTTAGTTCCAAACATTTTCGTACTAACCGTGTTGTAGGTGTCAGAAAGGCTGTGCCGGCACCCCAGTCCTGAACAGCGTCAACTACTACTGTATGGCAGCCAATCAGAAGGAGGGATGGGAACAGGGCCAGGATACCTTCAACTACACCTTTCCCAGTTCTGGACCATTCACTGTTGGGTAAGTTGCTCACCTTAGCGGTTGTTGTTGGTGTTGTTGATGTTGTTGGTGGTGGTGTTGTTGCTGTTGTTATTTTTGTTATTGCTGTTGTTGTTGTTGCTGTTGTTATTGTTCTTGTTGTTGTTGTTGTTGTTTTTGTTGTTGTTTTTGCTGTTGTTGTTGTTGTTGTTGTTGTTGTTGTTATTGCTGTTATCATTATTATTGTTGTGGTTTTGAAAAAAGAAAGACAACGGTTGAGAATCAATAAGAGCCCCCGGTTCAGAGTTTCTTTCTCTTTCTACACACATCCGGGGTTTCCACTTCCTGTGGGCGGCCACATTTCGGTCATTCATGAAGGCATTTTTAACTTCTTTTAGAACGCTTGTGGGTGGTGGGGTCGGAAGAAGAGTTGGGAGGGGGGTAGAGAGTCGAAATTAATTTTCACCAAGGAAATGGTCCATTTTGTGACGGTGTTCAAGTGTACGATAACCCGGGAACTGTTCAGAAACCAAAAAGCTGGACAATTTCACTTTGTTGAGTTGCTGGGCTTTTATTGCGTTTTGTCGTTATTAACCCTATGCGTACACCCTGAGGTCATTTTGTACCCCAGGGTTGTATTCTTCACATTTTAGAATATTCCTAGTGCGAAGATCTCTTTGAAATTTCAGTATTTCTCAAAAAATCATTTTGACAGAGTGCTATGCAAAGCGTACGGATCGGATTAACGAGTAAATTTCCTCTTTGGAAAGTGGTGGCACAGAGTTCCCAACGTCGTATGGATACGATAGTAAAACACGACGTACGGATAGGGTTAAAAGTGTTATCTTTATTTTTATCTGTTATCGTCTCAGATACGAAGGAAACGCGACTTTATTTCTATCTGTTGTCTTCTCAGATACGAGGGAAACGCGTGGATGCAGCTATCGGGTGGGCGTGGCAACGGAGCCTGGAACGTAGCAACCACCATTGACCTCAGGACTCGGAGCGACACAGGGCGCAGCAACACCAGCCCTGTGGCTCTCAGCAAACCGCTCTTCAAGTAAGAATTGTTTGTTGTTGGTTGTTGTTTTGTTGTTGTTGTTGTTGTTGTTGTTGTTTTTTGTTTCGTGTGGGGGGGGGGGTTTGGGGGGGGGGGGGATTAGGCAATATCTAAAGTCTCCTAAAGGCGATTCTCGTGGTCGAGAGGTTACGGTATTCGCCTCCCATTCAATAGGTCCCAGTTCGAATCCGGAAAGCGACGGGAAATTTTCTTCTCTAAAATTTTCACCTTTCACCTCCTTTGCTGCTCTCTAGCAATGTTCTTTCGTCTGCTTTCGTCTCCACTTTCTGCCCACACACCCTTACCTCATTTGCCCCCTCCTCTTGGCTCCTGACTCTTTCTGCAGCCTTTTTGCTGCTACTCTTTGGCTCCTTCTGACTGCTGTCTTTCAGCCACACCCCTCATATTCTGGTAGGAAAGATCTACATCTAGCCTTCTCGGATAAGGCGAAAAATCTCGGAGGTCCCAGGTGCAAGTTGCGCACGATAAAGATCCCTTTGTGGTCCTAAAATCGATAAGAGTAGGCTTTGGCCGCCACCCGAGCAAATTCGCAATTCCCTTCCAAGCTGGAAATGTTTGGTGTGTTCTGCGCACTCATATGACCTTATCCAGTTGCGAGCGCCGTAAAACACTTACCAAAAAAAGTCTCTTAAAGGGAGACACGACAAAGGCGGCAAAACGTCTTCATTGACAACTGAAATTCTTGTGGGGGGGGGGGGGGGGGGTTGGGTTTTTTTTAGGGGGGAGGGGGGGGTCCTTCGAATAAAAATTATTAACTAAGATATTCTGATAGAGTTTTCAAACCTTCAATCTCATTTGGTTCCGACACAGTGTCAGCTAAGGATCTCTGGCCGGCCGAATGATGTAATTTTGTGAACCAAATTGCTCATTTACCTTTAGAACAGTATCATGGAAAATTGCTGTGAATGTTAGCAACAACATATCAAAAGGAATTTGGGGGGCTTCAATTTGTAAAGTTTTGGCAGGTAGGGTCTGCATTAGTGGAAGACAGAATAACCATAATACACTTCTGTTCCATTTAAAAAATGCTCGTTAAAAAAAATACTCGTAAAAAAAACCTCGTTAAAACCCTGTCCTAAGCACAGTCGTTGCTCTATAGAAAAATTGCACTTATACAAGGGTAACTGTGGGTTGTTGGCGGGTGCTCTGGTGTGGTTTGCTTCTTCTTTCCTACCAAACATCTATCGTCCTTAGCCTGTTCAGACCTATTTTACCCACTATTTCAACTCGTTTTGCACATTTGGACCTAGTTCGATGTGTTCAGGACATATATTTTGGTCAAAACTTGAACAGGTTTTTTAAAAACCCAATAGCCAACTCGAACCCTTGAGCCTGAATCAAAAGCTGCGCAGCGCCTTTAACCAAAAGGACGAGAGAACTTTGTCTGACCCAGGTACAGACTATACAAATCAACATGTCTTTAGGCCATTCCCAAAGGGGAGATATTAACTTCTTATACACAGTAGAATTGTAAATGGGCTGATTTATCAATGTCATGCTCATACTGTGCCGGAACGACAAAAGGGGAACTGCTGCTTTTTCTTTCCTCATCCTTACTATTGTCATTTTCCTCTACTTCTTCTGTGATTTTGTCACTCTCTTGTGAACTGTTATTTCCGGGGTGCCTTGATAGTCGAAGAAGACTTTGTGCTGTTGAGGCCAGAGAGGTGAGCAGTGTACGCCTGATTCCCCGTTCGGACTTTTCTGTTGACATCCACCCCTTGGCGCTCATATGACCTTATGCAGTTGTGAGCGCCGTAAAACCTTACTAAATGACATGTTTAGCCGCCTTGGTTTACTAGGACCATCAGGTGAGAAACCAAATGCTCCATCTGCTCTTTCAAAAATTGTAAGATTATTCCCCAAGCTCATAATATGACCTTACGCAGTTGCGTGCCCCATAAAACCTTACTAAACCAGACTAACTAAACAAATCAACAGGAGTCTATTTCTTATTTCCCTCCCAGCATGCAACACAACTGCAACCACACATTGAGGATCCCCATACTGGACCCTGACGGGGACAACGTGCGATGTAGATGGGCCGTCAACGACGAGTGCCTGACTGTGTGTAACGCTCTCCCCTTTGCCAGACTGGACGAGGTTTGTCTTATGCTGCTTATAGGAGTTGGACACCCACGTAGATATAGGCTGCCCAAAATACCCATTGTTTTGAAGGGAGTTGTTCACTATCAACAATGAAACACAAAAGGAGCATCCGTAAGCTTCAAATTCGACACAAAAACACCACATTTCGTGATGCCTGAAACATCATATGTTTCTTAATACAGCCGCTGTTGTTTTTCTAATGCTTCAGCTTTTTACAGCTTTAGAATTTTGTTTTTGACGTTGCTAACACAACCACCCTGCACGCAGATACACACTCACGCACTCTTCTCACTCAATACATTGGAGTCTGCTTGAACAGAAACATATATTCCGAAACCAGCGTAAACTGAAAAAAAAATAAAATCACCAATTATTTTTTCAATTCGAGCAACCTCTCTTAACCGAAAAAACCCTAGGCTAAACCGAAAAAAACTCTGGGGGTCTCGCGGATTTCGATTTAAGCGGACTCCATTGTATATATTATATGCTTGCACCCACAAAGTTAACCTCTTCTGTCATTAAATCTTCCACTTCCAAACGTCCCTCTCAGCAAACCTGCACGCTCACCTTCACCACGGGCTTTACTCAAACGTACCAACCTGGAGACTTCTTCGCCGTGGCGCTCACTATAGAAGATTTCCCCCCAGCCCCGATTACCTTAGGGGGTTCTACAAGGAAGACACCGTCAGACAGTCTCTCCTCTATACCCATGCAGGTGAGCTGACTTCTTGCTGTTGCTGCTTGTTTTTGTTGTTGCTGTTGTTGTTGTTGCTGTTGCTGTTGCTGTTGTTGTTGTCGTTGGCATTGCTGCTGTTGTTGCTGCTACTGTCCGTTGCTTCTGCTGTTGCTGTTGCTGTTGCTGTTGCTGCTGTGTAGTTTGTTGGCGGGTGCTCTAACGGGGTTTGTTTCTGCTTTCCTATCAAACATCTATCGTTCTGATCTCTCCTCTCTCTTTTCTTTTTTGTATAAATTATGTGTTACTCTCTGGCAACACCTCTAATCTTCGGCGCTTATATGACCTATTTGTGTTATAAGTGCCGTAAATTACCTACTTAAACTAAACTCAAATGTTGCTGAAGTTGCTGTTAATGCTACCTTAATTAAAGTTGTTTATTATGATGTTGGTGTTGTTGCTGTTGCTTATTGTTGTTGTTGGTGGTGGTGTTGTTACTGTTGTTGTTGTTGTTGCTACTGCTGTTGCTGTTGCTGCTGTTATTGCTCACCTTATTAAAGTTGCTGATGCTGTTGGTTTCGTCGTTGTCGTTGTTGTTCTCATCGTAGTTGTAATCGTTATCGTTGCTTCCGTTATCGTGGCCATTGTTATTACTGCTCTTGACGAGGATGGTGGTGTGCATCCCTTTACTTATGTCGTTTGGAAGGAGAGCATCAAGACCAGAACTCCACAACAGAATACTGGACAAATTGGGAAATTTTAGAAAGTCATAGAAGGTCCGAACATCAAAACCTGAGACTTTTGTGAGTCAAACCGCGTTACAAGTGGCGGAAAGTTCCTACGACCCTGATCCACATGCATGTCTCAATCATTTCAGGGGGTACGTAATAGACTATGCGTCATTTGAGGATGCTTATTGTCCTCCGTTGACTAACGTGCCACTGGGAACTTATTAGAAAGATGTCCAGGTTTAACTCAATAAGGACCTCCTGAACGTAATATAATACGGTCTGATCAGCAGCAGGCTCATTAAGGCAATGTCGCGTCATATTTCAAACCATCATGTGGCGTCGGTGGCCTAGTGGTTAGGCTCTCGGACTCGCAACCGTAAGGTCGTGGGTTCGAATCCCGTTAGGGGCCCGACGTTGTGTCCTTGGGAAAGGCACTTTACACGAATTTTCCTCACTTCACCAGGTGGGAATGGGTACCCGGCTATAGACAGCGAAAGATCTTGTCAGTTTGTTAGTGTCTGAGCGCTTTATCAGTTGCTTGCACTGTATACTTCCCTGGAAGCTGAGAATGTTTCGGAGTGTTCTATGGTCTGCTTGGGTAATAATTTAGTGTAACGCTCATAGAGCCTGCTGTTGAGTGGGGATATGCGCTATACAAATGCTATTTATTTATTATCATACAGAATTGATTAACACGATTTCGTATATTATTTCGTAGTAAATGTCGGTGCTTGCCTTTTTTTCAGATATAGAAAAGAGAAGTGAAAAATATGAATAAATAAAGAGGTTATATTTCAAAGCGACGTATTGTCAAGCTTTGTTGAATGACTAGAATGCATGTCCTCAAAGAGTGTGTGTGTGGGGGGGGGGGGGGGGGGGGAACTCTCCCTTTTATAAAACGTTTACATAACCATTGTCCAGGTAGATCTGAGGGGCCCAATAAAAACCTGGAGTTAGTTTTTAAAAGTACTGTGGGCTGCTTTTGTCACTTGTGTTTTCCCGTATCATTTAGATCAGAAATGTAGGTGGTTGGTGGGTGCTCTGATGTGGTTTGCTCTTTCTTTCGTATACAACGTCTTTCTATCGTCTTTATCTCTTCTCCTTCTTTTTTGTGTTTGTTAATTACTCTCGTGTAACACCTCTTATCTTTGGTACTCTCAGGCCAATTGTGTTGCACGTGCCGTAAAACGCTTACTAAAACAAAGATCAGAAAGGGGTTAATTTATCAAACGCGTAGAGTGTAACAAATAAAATTTCAGTGGTTTCTACGAACTTGGCTCGCGTGTTTTAATTGTTTCCGTGTACACGTCATACACTTAAGGACTCC